TGGTAATTGAAACATAAACTTGTCATGATATTTGACTTTCTCTGTAAAGACTTATTTACATATATATTTTTTTTAATTATTTTACAGTGTTGTTTTAACATGTTTCTGTATTTTTCATGTTTATGATATTCTGGAATGACTGAAGATCACCACAGAATTCACTGATCTAGTGAATGGAAATGATTTTCATTTTTTCTTTGTGTTTTAATGTTTTCATTCAAGCTGTTACTTTCACATTAATTTACACGTATATACTTTTCAGACAGTGCAGTGTTAATGGGAATGTTTTAATAAACATGAATGTTTAAATTATGGTTTATTTGTGCACTCTGTTATGTCAGGATAAATAGTTAACAAAAAGCTTTTGTCATGTTAACGTGTTGAAGTTTTAAAACTCAAAATTTTAAGGCAACCATGTAAACTTTTTAGGTAATTGAAACTATATGTATAGTTGAGTGAACTTAAATTTTAAAGTTTACTTAATCCTCTTGATTTCTTGAATAAGTTGATACAATATTTAATCCAAAGTTATGACAACAAAAAATACATTAAGTTAAAAAAATTTAAATTCTTTAAAAAAATGTTTTATATATATACAACAAAATCACTATTTTTGTAATAACTGAAATTCTTAGTTTCAATGAACTCAAAATGAAAGCAACCAGGTTACTTTTTTAAATCATTTTTTACAGTATAGGTACTTTTTTTCCCCTGCAGTGTACAGTAAAAAAGTACTTCCAAAAAGTGATGTAACTCAACAAATATAACAGGAAGTGTGGATGAACTGAGTTTAGCTGGCTTTTGATATGATATTCAAAAAAAAAAATGTTGGACTCACAAAAAGCATGAACCCCTGTGTTATCCTCTCCTACAATTGACACCCCATTCACCCACCAAGGTCATTCACTCATAAGGCCGGCTGTGGAAATAGAAAGCAGCAGTAGCTTACGGAGACTAAAAGCAGGGCAGTACAAATGCCAGTTCAAAAGACTAACAAACAAGATGAGTTATGTGTACATGAGGGTGTACATATAGCTACATAAAAGAAGCAGATATCCACCAGTGAAAAGCATAAATAGAAAAAGATCATTGATAAAGGGCTGAATATATCGTTTTGATCTGTTACATAAAGCGATCTGTGATGATGTCCTAATTCTGGCAGAGAAGAAATCAGTGAATGTAAAAATATAGACGATCACAGTATTCACCAACCTCCAGTATCCACTGTTCTGAATCAACCTCTTTGGCTAAACCCGAACCTATTCAACACCGGGCTGGCGGCCAAAAGTGCTAACCGTGCAGCAAGAGATTGCAGTCTCCACTGTGCCAAACTGTGTTGAAATTAACCCAGTAATCAGAAACATTATGTTCTTATGGGGAGAGCCCAGGCGACTGGCAGATGGCTAAGAGCATTAGAGAGATACCTGCCAAACATTAGCCTGCTCTCTCCTCCTGGTGGGAAAGCCATTGTGACCAGGAGAGAGGGGCACCCCTGTGTGTCTGCAGCATATGGTGGGGTAAATATTGATATTATAATTATGAACAGCATAATCTAATAATTAATCATGCACATGCTCACATATTCAATACTCAAGCAGACACATACTGGAGGAGAGCCATTTGAACATTATGCTGGCAGAGAGAATATGACAGATGCCACAAGACCTGTAGCTGTTCTATTGTGCATATTGTGCTTTGATATTGCAATGCAAACCATGATAAGTGAAGAATCACTTAGGCTACTGTTTCTCTCTCTACCTCTGATTTTTCCTTTCTTTCTGTTCTGTGTAGAAGAATATTGCAGTATGAACATAAACAGCTTGTGAACACAGAGAAACAGATTCATATACACATTGATCTGATCCATTACAGTCTTTTACTCACCTTAGATTGCATAAGTCAAGTGAGATAATGAGCTTCAGGTTCCCTCAGTTTCTCAGAGAGAGAATGAGAGAGAGCCTCAAGCCCTCTGATTAGTGGCATGCAGTCTAATGTAGACTAATGCAGCTGAGTGAACTGAACCTCAATGTAACTACACAACTGCCTGTGTTCAATCATTTAAGACACACATTCCTTTGTGGCTTCAGTGGTAATTATAAAATAACAACATAACTGCATTTGGAACATAGTATGCACACTGTGGATAATGAAATAAAACGACAACTTTTTAAATCTCGTTTTCCTTTTTGAAGCCCCCCTTTCTTTCTTGCATCAAAACTACGAGAGAAGTTAGAACATGATTATCAATTGTGCTATATCTCCCCCTGCTGGTGACACAGGTTAATCTCATTCCGCTGGAACCAGCAAGGTGAAATAAACTCAATTAGAATTTTGAAATCATTAGCTTTTCTCATTTTTCATTCTTACTTATCAGATAATACTTATGAACGCTTTTTACGAGTGTAGACTTTTCACTCATTTCAAACACACAAAAACAATGTATCTGAAGAAAAGAAAAATAAAACAAGGCTAATACCAAGGTTTGGGGATAAATTCCTTTTAAAGGGGTCCTATTATGCTCTTTTACAAAGTCTTGATTTAGTTTTGGGGGTGTACTAGAACATGCTCTCATGCTTGGTGGTTCAAAAAACGCATTATTTTTCACATAATTTACATTATTAAAATACCTCTCTCCCCAGCCTGGCACAAACGGCTCGATTAGTTCTGGCTTTGATGAAGGTCCGCCTTCCGAAAAACAAAATGTGTTGTGATTGGTTAGCTGTCCCAGTGAGTTGTGATTGGCGAACAGCTTAGACGGTGTTTCAGTACTGCCCCGCCTCTTGTTCTGTCTTTC